CGTACGAAACTTTATACGTACATAATTTTAGACGTATTTATATAATGTCACACAATGTCATTCTACACGGATGATGAACTAAGTTAGATTCTTTTGTTTGCAGTTTTTTTGTTTGTTGCACGGAAACGCATTCTACATTAAATCACCTTTAAAAAATAATATGAAATTCTGATAATCAATAATTTCTAATTTTGAAAAAGAAACTGAAATCTTGTTTTCTCTTCACTGCTAAACGTTTTAAAGTTAAGCACACATTTAATGTCATAATAAGCTGCTTGCATATTTAATTTTGCAGGATGGTTTTAAATACCGAACTTTAGTCAGACGTGTATGTTTATCTCTTAACATGTCGATAAATTAACATTTTAAAAGTTATTGTGATTAAATTTTAAAATCATTCCTACTTTAAGTTGTGAAAGTGCTGTTCCTTCCGAGCACTTAATAAGGAGTATTGAAAGTAATGTTCGGGGATAAAACTTTTAACATCTTAGGTGTAACACTTTGGTAGAGTTTTCTTGTATTGTTGAATGCTATCTTCAGGTCATTCAACTGCAGTTTTTAAAGACCTCATTGGCATTACTAAGTGTCTTAGTAATGCCAATGAGTGTCTTATACACTTTAAGCGCATACCGTAAGAAGTATAACACTTTAGCGGATATAGTACGTATTTAGTACAATAGAACTTAAAATGCTCGAGTTAAAAAAAGTATTTTTCGATACTTAGAATTAAATATTTTCCAGTTGGAGGGATTCATTAGTTAGAAACTTATTTAAAAGCTTCCGAAGGAGACTGCAGAACCAATTAACCCCCTAGATGTCTCTTCGCCGAAATTTTACGTAGGGCACACTGCAGGAAGTGGACCAATATTACCCGCAAAGAGATGTTAAAAGCATACGCATAAAGTCAGGCTTTATGTGGGATCAGTTTTGGACTATCAGTTGGCCTTCGATAATGGCTGTACCGTCCACTGCAGCTGAAGTTAGAAATGAAGAATTCAAAATCAATGTTAACTTCTCGAGGTAATTCAGTTTTCTTTAACTCAAAGTTTTCTACTGCACACTTCAGCTTTTCTGAAACGAAGTTCGATTGCAAACACTAGTTCAGAGGCTTCGAATATGGAGATTTACAGCTAATGAATTAATTATTTTATTAAGGATAATTAACTCAGGAATTAGGAGATGAAATTTTAAAAATACTCTTTCCTCTGAATCAAAATGTTTTATTTAAGGGTTTCTCTTAAAGTGTTCGTATAACTTCAGCATTCCTGGCTTAGTTACGTTTCTTCTAGCTTGTTACTTTTTTGTTAACTTTAAGTACCATAAATTGATACCTTAATTTAATTGGCTGCTAATTTATCACCCTGTTTATTTTTAAGATGTTACTAGGTAAAAAATTTCTTAGGATAAGAAATGTTTCTCTCTCTTCATGAAGCTGCTAACGAGCAATGTATATTAGTACGAACTATTGAGATTTCATGTACAACTTCTCCTTTTTGAAACTAACTGTATTAAAAGTTACTGGGACCTGCTGTTCGAATTGCATTTAAATTTATTTTACGCGAGAGATAGAACAATTTATGAACTAAGAAAACGCTGTTGGACTTCTCTTTTAATTCTGCGATTCATTTTATTCAGAGAAAATTTTGTAGAAGAGGATTTGAAATGCAGCAGTTAAACTGAAAGTCGCCTCGGTGATTAGACATTCTTATTTCAGTAACACCAGAGAACTTCTTTGAAGTAATTAAGCATCTTAAATAGACAGATACATTTTTCTTGAAACTATAGAAAACTATAGTAATTTTTAAATATAAAGATTTAAGAAAATAACAATGAAAGCTCAGAATAGACTATTTACAGGAAAGCGATTTCGAAAATCATTGATTATACACAACATCTTCTTACTACTTAAGATTAAAAAGTCATTTCTGAGTATTCTAACTTTTGGGATCAGAAATTCGCAAACATAGTAAGCTATCTAATTACATTCTTTCTTTGAAATAATATTTTACAGCTGCTAGTACACTGAATGCATTCAACTGAAAAGCCACGCTGCACGATTTCAGAACAGTTATAAAACTTACGGAAAGTTTAAAAGTATGTATACGCTTGTGTAATAGTACATAATACTAAATTTTGCAATGATTACACCATTTACCTTACATAAATCTATTATACAGGTCGCAAAAAATATAGAATTCAATATACAAATGAAAGATGCTTTTATGGACTACAGACTTAAATGGCAAAAGACGAAAGAAACTGTTGGAAAATACGCAAGAAACAGATACGATTGTTTTGCCTCAGAGAGTAGCGTCTCGAACCGTGTTATTGACCAAAATCGTAGAATTTAATAAGTTAAAATTATGAAAAAATCAGAAGAATATTAGTTGCAGAAATCACGAAACCTTCAGAATTTAAAACATAAAGAAAATGCATTGGCGTTAATAATAATGTGGAAGACAGTTTCAGAATTAGTGTTTTCTCAATCTATTGAAATAAACCAGATTGAATGGGTCTCGAAGGTAATCCTATGTTTCCTATATGTATCCTATATGTATGTAAATAGGTAGTTCATCGAAGAAGTTTTTTTATGTGGGGCTACTGAATTATTTACGTAGCATACTCATTGCATAGTGTAAAGTGCGCAATGAATATATATAGAGATTGATTAGACAAAGATTAAGACAGATTATTTAAATTACGTTTTTAATTCTGATTGAACTGTGATCATTTACATAATATTACAGATATTTTAGATGTTGTGATTATTACGAAAATAAAACTGCAGAAGCCATCGTAGCTGAGTGTTAATAAACGAGTGTGCTTGATATTATGACTGCAATTTATGCAGAAACTTGCATTAAAATTTATATTTTCAAGATTTTGAAAGTGTAGTATGTAGGATGGGTTATTATTATGATTTATTTGAGAAGTTTTCATAGCAAATTCTACTTATAATATTTAGACAGGATTGAACTTTTAGTCACAAAATTTTACATGCGTATTTTGCCTGTCCATTTGGTTCACCATTCCAGATGCTACTAATATGTTATTCCCCAAAATTATTAATTTACTTCTATTTTAATATTCAAAATTAAGTTTCGCTTTCACTGCTATATTGATCACTTTATTTTGTTAAGAAACTTACCTTAAATCCATTAATTTGCACTATAAATGGAAAAGAACTGAATTTTCAAAAATTATGAAAGCATCATATTTAGATGATGTCCATTAAAATCGTTTTGATAATTAGAATTTTTATTAAATTTAACCATATGTACAGCCAAGCATAGACTAAATGGGATGTAAAATCGCAAATAAACTTCTGTCTATTAAATAATCGTAAATGACGATCAGGGTACTGGAGAAAAATTTAGAATGTTAGGTGGTTGAGCATAACTATATGATTTTGCTTTTAAATTTATTGCTGAAATACCTCCAGCTGAAATTTAATCTACAGGGTGTGCCAGAGTTATTGGGAAAAATTTTAAGAGGAAGTAGGGGACATCACAAGGATTTAGATTTGAATAGTAACCCATGGTCGGAAACGTCTTCGTTCGGTACTAGGTGGCGTTGTACAAGAGCGTTAGAGAAAATAGACCTCATTGCCCCAGTCATTTAATTTGTCATCTCCAACCGAGTAGTATGGAACAGACGTTCCAACACAACGAGCTGGCAATTAAAAGCCTGATTTACGGATTGGCAGAAGGATGCATGAGCAGCAGAAAGATTTTATCGCGAAAGGTACCCACAGAGAGATGCATTGGAGGCTTACTAATTTACATCGCAATTTGTGGGAATATGGATCATTACGAGGTTTTAGGCATAGTGAAGGTGGGCCACGAGAGACTCGAACTCCCAGCGTGGAACAAAATGTGTTGGATAACGTTGGAAAGAATCCGAGTACCAGCGTACGAGCCATCGCTGCTGCCGTTGGAGGATCTCCTAATAGTTTACATCGTGTTTTGCAACGTAAAGTCTAATACTATCTTCAAAGAGTACCGTCACTGCTACTCACTGATTATCCTGAGCGTGTGCGTTTTTCACGGTGGTATCTCAACCATTGTCGCCAAGAAGCGCATTTCCCATCCTACGCTTTATTTACGGATGAGGCGCATTTCACGCGAGATGTGTGCTCAACGACCACATTGCGCATTTATGAGATAACGATCATCGCTTTTCAGTGCATGTTTTTGCTGGTGTGATCGATGACCTCTTAGTCGGGCCTTACTTGTTGCCAGCACCTCAAACATCTGCGGATTATCTCATCTTTCTGCAAAAGTTGCTAATAAGCTTACATGACCCTGTGCCACAACATTTCAGACGCTATATGTGGTTTCAACATGATGGGGAACCTTTCAATTTTGGCAGATGTGTTCGTGATCATTTGAATCAGGCGTTTGGTCCCCGATGGATTGGGCGTGGTGAATCTCTCTTGATTTAAGCAGCATAGAATTCTGTCGATGGGGTACACTGGAAAGTGCTGTGTACGCAACACTTGTGGATTCCAAAATGGATCTGGTTGTCAGAATCGCCTCTGCTACTGAGGTTGTCTAACAAAATCTACGTGTATTTGAGCGAGTCCACCAAATCATGGTTCGACGGTGTAACGCATGCATAGTTAGCAATGGTGGAAACTTTGAACAGCTTTTGTGACATTTCACATATCATCTATCACAACACATGTAATATATCTTTGACCAATAAATATTTCAGGTGATCTCAGTCTTGTATCTCTTCGTTTCTTGTAATTATCATACTACTTTCCCATGATGTTTCCGACTATGGGTTGCTATGCAGATCTTCCTTGTGATGTCCCCTACCTCCCCTTAAAAGTTCGTCCCAATAACCCTGGTCTCTGTTTATTAACTTGCTGCTGTCAGAAAGTTGTACAATATTTTATAAAATAATTCAACTCAGCTGGCCATTTTCGAGTTTTAGGTTTAATATTAAACGATTTCATAACTTTTTACTGTTACAAAGCATTTAATATCATAAATGGTGGAATTAAGGTAAGTATTGATTTAAAAATTATGCTTATGTAGGTGCATAATTACTTTAAATGGGAAACATCACATAGCTGCTAAATTTATTTCTTCTTGAGAGAAACTGGAATGTTTAATTGTGATGATTATATAAAAAATGTTGACTAGGCAACATATTTATATCATATCGTTTCATTCTCGCGCATGATAAATTTCTATAATTATATTTCTTTTGAATAAATTTACAGGAAGAGTTATCTCTTACATATGAAAAATATTTTAAAAAACATGCATTATAAAGTTGAACATTTATCATGCCACTCCATTCGTGATATACATAATAACAACACAATTTTCTGTTCTAAACTATTGCTATGAATTTCAGACTTTAAATTTGCTTCCTTAGATATTTTAAATTTTAATCAAAGCCGATATTCATATTATTCTTGAATTCAATTTTTGTGAGAGTTATTTCTGCGAGAGCTCTGAAGAGACCTTTTTTGCAACTGCTGCATTAATAACTATTCAGAATCTGTTGCGCGTCTTTCCTTCCAATATCTTCTCAAGTCCGCCACTGTCTTCAATAATCTTGCACATGATTCGTTTATCAAAATTGTGCCATTACTTTAATGCTATCATCATCCAAATAAGTTCTTTGGCTAGCAAGACAAACAATAGGGCAACAGTCTTGTGGAATACAGGGTAGTTAAAGCCGAAGTCCATAGCAAAATCGTTGAAAAAATGCTGCTTCTGAGCACAACTGAAAAACAAAATATAATATTATGCTTAATACAATGGAAACAATCATTTTTAGGTTATAAAGTTTAACAAGCAACATGTTTTACATTCACCGAGCAAAAAATTGGAATTTAATTTCAAATCAATAAAAAGGTTTTTTCACAATGGAAGCTGGATTAATTGCTTTTAGACACAAAATTCAGCATCTAGTAATATTTTATAAATCTAGTCTTTGCTCAATAATTAACGAGACGTGTGATGAAAAGTATCTGTATACAAAATTACTTTTCTCATTTGTAATTCTCTGTGAAAGCAGACGTCTTTCATTTTTGTACTATTAATTCTGTGAGCTTAAATTCTGTTTCTAAAGAACAAAGGAGCAAATGAGCGCAAGTTCAAGCAAATTTATGAAATATTGTTTACGATATTAAATAAAAATACCCTTGTTAGCATTATCAAATTTTTAAAGACATAGGCGCTGACTGTTACACAGAACTCAGGAATAACTGCAATATACTGAATTCAGCAATGTAAAAATTATATTGAAACGATCAAATTGTAAATTGTTTTTAGAATGCATTTATTAGCTACCAAGCTATGTGTTTCTTTTTAAAGTTGCTGTAGTAAATTGGGGCAAATTTACCGCTTTAGTAATAATATCAATACTTCGAAATTTTATGGCTAGGTAAATGAGGAGCATAGAAACATGCTTTAATATATACATTACGTTAACAGTTTGCTCTGTTCAGTTTTTATTTGAACAGGAACTAATGAGCCGGAATAAAGAGAGAGTGATAAGAGGGGTGCGAAAGAATGTTACCTTTTGAATATTCAAAAGATCAAAAATTCTCACTTTACACTCAACGCTACTTGAAGATTTCACCTTTCCGCAGCGTCAGCTGTATTTTTTGAAGCGTTAACAAAGAATGTCAAAGTCCTGACACTTAGTTTCTTTCAAAAGTATTTAACCTTAGACTTCTGCACTTAAAAAAGAAATTTCCAACTAAATTTGACTTTTACGAAAGATCTTTTTATTTTTTACTTAGTTTCGTTGTTTCTCAAAGTTCTTCTCAACCATTACACTGACAAGAGTCTGACATATTAAGATTTCTACAAAGGCTTATCAAAGCCAATTTTCTGTTTATGATTTCTTTAAGATTTAATCTCTTGCAGGATCAGTTGACTACTTTTTCATTCGGAGTTACATTAGCTGTTAAAAACATATGGATAAAATGCTAAATCTGATTGTTTTTAAAAGTCCTTTTTTAAGATAAATATGTTTAAAATTATTAAGTTCTGACTAGTGCATTTAGTATAGATTTAAATTAGAATCGAACTGATTTGGATAATTATCAAAAACGGTTGTGAAACTTCTTTGTCTAATTTTTTCTCATGTTAAATAACATTCATAAATGTAATAAAGGAAATGAATAAAAGGAAAGTAAACATTTTTATTTAAATAATAGTAAATATTTCTGATATTGTTTGGCAACACTTGTGAATTAAAAGTATATATGTTAATCGAAAATTTCAAGGAAAGTCAGTTGAGAAATTTATAATTTCAGTTTAAATTTAAATTTTATGCGCCTGTTCATTTTTAAATAGGAAAATCAAAGTAATTTTTTAGTCAGATGTTACCTAAATGATATGACATATTTATTTGGATTTATTTAAAATAAAGAGTAGCACATGACTATTATTGCGGATTTCCAGTATTATAACGAACATCAGAAACTCATTCTATTCTAATCTTCCATGTGATTGATCTCTAGATTGCCACCGTTCAGGTATAATACATAAATCATTCAACGCTCTAGTCTGAATTTATCGGCTAATAATTTACAGTAATGTAACTAATTCATTTGATGTACAGTTAAGTAATCCTCTGAAGAGACAAATTATAGCATATAGACATAGTGCACAGTTAGACTAACCTCTTACTTCGTGAGTTGGAAACTGATCCTTTTGCAACTTATATGCATACTCTACGTAGGAAGAATAGACGTCGTATATAATGTCCTCTTGATTACAGTTTGAAAACATTTCTGTTTCAATTTTTTATTACTAATAATGGCACAGATAATTTAGCAATAATTTAGCTTTTCAGACAATTTAACAAAAAAACTTTAAAAAGAGAGAGTTGAACTGTATTGGCTTCGAATATTTTGTTCTCAAAGAAATAGTTTCAAGATGGAAACGAGGAGAAAGAATTATTTTCAAGTTCATGAAACAGTGCACTAATCGTTCTTTTTATTCACGGAACGAATATTTCACGAATATTTACGAAACCTTTGAATTTCTGTTTCAGTTAATACGCTTAATTTCTTAAAACATTCCTTTTATAAACAAACCCAGCTTCAATAATGATCATTTCTTTGATCATCTAAACTATAAAAATCAAAATGTTGAAAAGCTTATAAAAACTTAAAAGAAAAATAAATTATTTTTGGTAGCTACTTAAAGAAAAGTCTTTTTCCAGTTATTCTTTCCTAAGGTGAGAACTTAGAGCAAACTTTATTTCAGAGTATAACTTCTTAGTAACTTCAGGTAAATAAATGTATGTTTAGCATTCCGAAAATGATGGCATGTCGAAATAGTTCTTAAACCATTATAGCAAATTTAATACCTTACACCTCAGAAATTTAAAAAAATAAGTCAAAATTTAGTCTTTAGTGTCCTGATAGAAAAGTTAACTGCTATCATTCAATACATGATAGACCGTATTAAAACGAGAAAAAAATAGTTTTTTGAGATTCTATACTACAAATTTTATGTCAAGAATAAGTATCATGCAATGAGAATAAAGTTGTACTTTATAATAAATAGTTCACTAAATAATTAAAAGATATATTTATATTTCCTTGACCTAAAATCTTATGCAGGTTTTCTCAGATGCATCTTATATAGATGTCATTAACAAAGTCATAAATATGTCATATAATTCCTTATTCTGTAATCGCAAAAAATATTTTTTGCCAGGTACTGAATAGTTTACTAAAGCGAGAGAATCCCCCCCCCTTTTCCGAAGTCCATTTACTTCTGAATATATCAAACAAAATACCAAAATAAGTACTGTAAATGTAAAATCTAAACTTAAATGGAAACAAAGTTTCCAATTTCGTTTCTATTCCATTTTGAAACCGATTTACCCAAAGACAATTTTCAATGTCATTAAAGCATACCCTCTCAAATCGCTGTTTTAAACATGAAGACATATAGCTTCTTCTTCTCCTTCTTTTTTTAAAATTTATTTTCTTTTTTTTAAAGCAGCTCTTTGGCAAACTCTTTGAGTCTTCGTTAGCGCTAAACGATATTAAGGAAGTATTAGCAACACAGTGTCTGTTCTCTAACACCACACAATCTCCTTTCCACAATCTTAATGACAAGTTAATGAAGAAGCCCGCTTCAAAATGCGATTATTGTCCTTAGGCACTGGAAATTAGAACACATCAAAGATTCTGTTGCACAGTGTAAATGGAGCTTTTAGGAAGGTGATGGACTTAAAGGAGGGCATCTTTTATCGGCTTTGCGATGAGACAGAAGAATATAGCATTGGGCACGCTAGCTATAGGATTTAAAATCTCTGGAAAGGAAAAGAACAGTTGAATGCTTTTCGCTCGTGAATAAGAATTATTGATAAGATTAGCCGTTCGGAAATTGATACATAAATAAATGCTGCCATTTCGGAATGTCATTTATTCCAAACATTCCGCAGAAATTCATTTATGGCTGTTTTATATTTATTGTTGCAAGCTATATATTAAGAACGAAAGAAAGTAATCAAATTACCCTCAATACGAATAAATCAATACTAAGTGTTCATATGCATTTGTTTTACAATATTGCTTAAGGTATTTATTTAAAATTAGAATGACTCGTTTTTCCCTCATTATATTTTACATAAAGTAAAAGAATAATAAATCCGTAATATGTAATATAATGTTAAAAAAGTCTCACGTCTTCTATTTATGTCAACAGCTTAATGATATGTTTTGTTCAATGTTTTCGTTAGTGTTTGGGATTTTAATATTTACTTTGCTTTTATATTCTGAATTTAAATACCGATATAGTAAATTGATGGGTCTAATACAAAACAAACTATAATACGCGATTGTTAATTTCAGTTTCTGCAAGCATTTGCCAATGAGTCATTTTTCATATCAATATAGCACAAACAATATAAATTATTAAATATACGAAGATTTAAGTTGAAAAATACGTATATTTATATCGTAGTGAAAAGCGTAATCACCTTTGAAGTTACAAATATGATGCGAAAAGCAGTGTAGAGGAAGTTATGAAAATAATATAGAATATTTAATTAAAAATGTGTTTATAGAATTTCCGTAAAAATGCCGTTTTATATCATTTCGAATTTCCATTTTACGAATTTAAAAGTGTGTGTATTTAATTATGGGAAAGCACACTAGGGCTATCTGCCTAAGGAGAAGGGATGCCTTCGTGGAGGACTTTCTAAGGGAAACTGGCTCGTATACACGTTACACATGGGGAAAACCACGAAAACACCCATGCAGCCAGCCCGTTCGCGGGATTCGAACCTCGGACCGAACTACCAGTGTTCAGCGACTTTACCGCTCGGCCGCTGGTGGGCCCGAATTTGAAAGGGTAATTTCTGAGATATCGTTTGTACTACATTTTTCTGTGACTAACAAATAAATTTATACAATTTTTGATATTTTTCTAACTTCTATTATAGTAATTCCTGCATTTAATTGCATTTTAGTAAATTTATTTTTTATAATTATTTATTTAGCGTATAATATAAAATATTTTAAATGCACTGTAAATTATGTCTCCTCCAAGATACAGACTAGAGCTTTGATCCTTGAATCACAAAGCTTGAACTGTTAACAAGCTTTGTCTTCCTTGTGGGAGAAGAGGAACCACCGCCCTATTATTTGAAAATTTAATTTTCTGCTATTGTCAGACAGCCGCAAAATTCTTCAAAGCATGCAGTATGTATAGTCTTACTTGTTTACTTTTAGCCGCATTTGTATGCTC